CGCGACGGGACGGGCTGTGCGCTCCGAGGAGCAGGGGGAGAGGAGGTTTTGTACCTCATAGTGTCACTGATTTTGAAGTCCTGGAGCTAGAGCTGAATGAACAGTAAAAGCAGGTTAAATCATTAACCAGTTAGGGACGGGGAAGCAGCTGTAAAAGGAACAGAGGAAGAAGGCCAGATTATTATTTTTGTTTCTTTTCTTTTTCGTTTCCTTTCCTTGTCTTCTCTCCTGGTGGCCGCCGTGCCGCGATCACAAGCCCTGCTTGGCCAGCGAGGCGGACACCTCGTCGGCTAGCGTGGCCAGCTGGGGGGAGTCCACCAGGTTGATGCTGCCGCTGGAGGAGACGTTGCTAAGGCGGCGCGGGGAGGCGTCTCCGGAGATGGTCGGGGACTTGTAGACGATTTCGGCGCCGTGGTCGGTCTTGGCTTTGGCGTTCTCGCGGAAGGTCAGCTTGTGAGTCTCAATCTGAGAGGGAGAGGAGGGCGGTCAGGGGCAAGGCCAGGGGACAGAGGGATCTGCCAGGTGTGCACTCAGACACGGCTGCTGAGAGGTGGCAGCAGAGCTCAGTGTCCCCAGTGCCCCAGGCCTCGGTGTGGCACCAGAGGGGACAGCAGGACCTGAGCACCTGGGTGCTGCCAAATCCTCCCCACAACAGCAGGACCTGAGCACCTGGGTGCTGCCAAATCCTGCCCAGGACAGCAGGACCTGAGCACCTGGATGCTGCCAAATCCTGCCCAGGACAGCAGGAACTGAGCACCTGGATGCTGCCAAATCCTCCCCACGACAGCAGGACCTGAGCACCTGGATGCTGCCAAATCCTCCCCAGGCAAGGTCCTGGCTCCAGAGGGCACAACCTGGGCTGCTCCCACTCCCCTGGCAGAGATCATGGGGGCACACAGCACGTGAAGCTCCCCCTCAGCCCACGGAGCTGCTCCCAGGAGCCAAACCCCTCTCCCGCTGAACTGGATCTGGTTTGCTACTTACAGGTGCCCTGCCCAGCCGAGTGCAAGGCTGGGGGCTGGCTCTCCATGGGGCTGAGTGGCTCCAGCACCAGGGCCTGGAGCCCAGCGGGGTCTGGGCTCGGGGTCCAGCTCTTGTCTTCCTTGCCTTTCTCTCTCTACAGGTGAAGAAACCCACCCAGGGCAGTGGGGGGCAAAAAATGCATCAGCAACAAAAAAAACATGATCCAAGAAATGCCAGCCAGAAGGAAAAAGACGAAAAAAAATATAGAAAAGAAATAGAAAACTGGGGAGAAAAAGATCTGAAAAACAGGGCCATTCACTGACGCATAGAAAGAAGAGTGGCTGCATTTGGAGCCTGGGAGGAAAACTCCAGGAACAGCACAGGAGAGCACAGGGACTTGGGCAGAGCACAGAGCACCCAGCTCCCCATGGCACACCCAGCACAGGAACCAGAGCTCAGCCCAAAGAGCTGCGGACTGTGAGTCCCAGTGTGGATCTGTGTGTCACAGAGCAAGGAGGGACCTGGGGACATGGGCAAGGGGCAGCAGAGCTGCATCTGCACTCAGTCACACCCAGAACCTCCTCCAGGTTTAGGCAGGGGAGGAGCAGCCACCAGGCCGGAAGGCCGAGGTGGTGATGCCACTGCTGGGTCAAAGCCTTGCCAAGAAACGCAAAAAATTCCCCTGCAAAGGGCAAGATCTTCAAACTATGGCCCAGTGAATGTGCCAGGACGTGACAGAGCCATCACTGGATCACAAAACCGATGCAAAAGGCTCAGTGAAGCACAGGGGAGCTGATGTACGGCAGAGAGAAGGGTAAGGAAGTCAAGCGGTCCCGCAGTCAGAGGCCAGCTGGAGGTGAGAGCTGGAGCTGCACAGAGAACACGTGGCCAAGAACAAAGTGCCAAAATACAGGAGCTGAAACAGAACCTTCCCCTCCCATTGAGACCAAAGTGCTGCAAAAACAAGCAAGACAAAACCCGCTTTTCCCCGGGGAAGCTGAACCCTGCGTGCGGCCAGGCTGGATCTCAGCTCTGTGCTCACCTGATGTCCTCACCCCCTGGCTGTTGGGGACTCGGTGGCCTTGAAGCCCAGCTGTGGGGCTGCTTTACTTGGCCAAGACTCACTGAAATCACCATCAAAGCCTGGCTGGGAACAGCCCAGCCCCAGCTCACCTCCCTGACCCGAGTGCCTTTTGTCTCTCAATTTAATCCCCCAAACACTCCCTCCCTTCACAGAGCCCTGGGTCAGGAGGGAGAAATCACCTCCTGAAGGGTCAGTTTGCTGCAAAGTCACCTGCTCTAAATAAAGCTGAGCCTTTAATGCTCCACTCTCACTGGGGACCCAGCACCTCTGCAGCTGCCAGCTCGGTGTCACAGCAGCAGCAGCACAGCACGGCACTGGCTGATGGTGACACTTGGTGGGGATGGTTTGAGACACAAAAATCTTGAGAGGCAGCAGAGAGAGCAGGAAACCACAGCAGAGGCTGTCCCTGGCTGGTGCTCACTCAGGGGCCATCCTGGGCAGTGCCACCACTCTGTCCCCTGTCCCCTCACACCCACAGCAGCCCACACCTGTCCCCAGGGCCCCTTTACCTTTTTATTGCCTCCTCCAGGGACGTGGCTGATGTTATCTAGGGACCCGATTTTCGACTGCACCTTATCTTTGAAGTCCAGTTTCTCAGATTTCACCTCCACCTGGCCACCACCTGCAGGAGAGGGGTGAGAGGTGGCTCAGGAGCTGGGGCAGCACCCAGCACTGCAGGGCTCACTGGGGTGCTGCATTCACTGCCTCCCTCAGCCCCTGCCCAGCCCTGTGCCCCTCTCACACCCCCCTGAGCCCCAGGGGTACCTGGTTTGTGGTGGATGTTGCCCAGGGAACCACATTTGGATGTCACATGGCTCAGGTCCACTGGCTTGTAAACGATTTGCACCTGCCCGTGGGAGAGAGGAGAAGGGGATGAGCTGGGGGCCAGCACGGGCAGCTGGGGAGGGGGAGCACAACACACAGCAGCACCTGAGCTGGATTGGAGGGAAAGGACAGCTCCAGCCCCGGGAGGATTAATGACACCAAAGAAACTGCCATCAGAAATGGGAGATCATTAATGCCCGTGTGCAGGAGCCTCTTAACATGTCAGCATGCACGAGATCACCTCTCCACAGAGGGGGGAGTAGAGGCAATTTTTAAGTGCTCGAAGTGAGAGAGAAAGTGGAGTGGTAATTAATTTAAGATTTGCATACACATCATCCAAAAGGAGGAGATATACCAGAGAGAAAAACGTAAAAAATAAATACCTTTTCTGGTGTAAAACATAAAGCTTATGTCCACAAAAACTGAAAGAACAGAAATGATCAATGTGCACAGAACTTTCAAAAGAGTGACCAAAATATGCATTTCTGAAAAATGCTGTAATGGAAATAAGGGTTAAAAGAATAAAAAAAAAAAAGCAAAGCAAAATCTAAATATCTGGAGTTGACATCATAGAAATTAAAATGGCAATTATAAAGTATTGAACCACAACAGCATTTTGTGACATTCAAGCCCTGGTTTTTTTGCTGTGCTTTGCCCACGATGTCTCTGAGTTGGGCTCCAGCACTGCAGGGATCCCCCCCCGTCCCCAGAGCGCTCGTGGCACGGACAGGGGGACACGGGACAGACACAGGGACAGTGCGGGGCTGCAGGGCTGGGCAGCAGCCACACAGCAGGGAGCCACGGCAGCAGCACGAGACAAGGGGGACAAAACACCCCCAGAGCCCCCCAGGTCACCCTGGAGCCTGGTGGGGGGCTCCCCCAGCCCTGAGGGGCAGCTGCTGCTGGGTGAGTGGGGCTGGGCAGGAGAAATGGCACCATCCACGCCTCAGGGTGGCTCTGGGGCAGCCTGGCCTCTCCAGGGAGCATCTGCTGCTCTCGGTGCTGCCCAGCAGTGTGGTGCTCTCAGCAGCCCCAGCAGGATGGGCCAGCGCCAAAGGGAGGTGTGAGAGGAGCTGCTCCTCCCAGCAGCCCCCAGATCATCACCAAGGATCCACTGCTCCCCATCCCAGCACCAAAGCGCCAGGGGAAGGTGCATCCTGCAGTCCTCACCTGGCCCCAGCACCCTCAGTGAGTGCCACAGCCCACAGAAACAACCCCGAGCCCAGCCTGGAGCCAGGAACAGGAGCACGAGCCCCAGGCACAGAGCCCTGCTGCCCTGCCTTGTCTCTGCTGCTCACACAGACCAAAGGGCACGTTCGACAGGAGACAGAGAGGGAGGAAAGCAACCCCTCGGGGTCTGGGAGCACACCGTGACACAGACGTGGGGACAGCGCAGGGAAAGGTCACAAGTTTGATGCACTTGGGCAGGAGAGGAGCTGGATTTGGTTGGAAAGCAGGAAACAGATCCAAAAAGGGCAGCTGGGGCCTTTCTAATCCCAGCTGTGACCCTGAAGGGTCTCTCAGCAATTCAGGCACCACTGAGACCTGGGACTGAAAGTCCTCTCGTTTCCAGAACAAGCAGTCAGCAATTAATGGAACTTTGTGCCCTCATTCCCAGCCCCTTTTGTGACAGACAGGACTCTGTCATCCCTTCCCATCCTGCTGAGGAGCAGAGAAGGATCCTCCCCGTTTTAGCAAGAAAGGAGAAGGAGAACAGAGCTGTTTGCCTGGGAAAGCAGTGCCAGAGACCTGGGGATCCCACCCTCAGCACCAGCAACGCCAACTCCTGCCTGGGGCATGCCCTGGGCAGAGCACCCACAGCTTCAAAGCCCAGGCACCAAGGCCAGGGAAGCAGGAATGGCTGGGCAGGGGCTGTGCCATGTCCCAAAGCCCTGGGGTCTCTTGTTGCCCCCTCCCAAGGAGCCCCAGCACAGCCTGACACTGCCCCTGCTGCTCGCAGAGCTGCTGCAGCCACATCGAACAGAGCCCATGGGGTTTTCAGCTCTGGCAGGGCCCCCCAGATGAAAATCCAGGTAATTCTCAACCCAGAGCAGCTGCAAAGGCCCACGGGGTGAGCTCTGTGGAGGAGGGACCAGCTCATCACCAGCCACAGCACTGGGGGTTCATGGCCAGCACCAGCTCCTGGCCCAGCTCACCCTGGGCAGCCCAGAGCAAGGAACAGGAACAACCATGGGGCTGCTTCACAGGGCTCTGAGCTCTGCACAGCAGCTCCTCTGGCCTGGCAGGGAACTGCAGAGTGACCCCAAATTTCAGCCAGAGGTTGCAAATCCAGCTGTGTCCCTGTGTTCACCTGCCAAGCCCTCTGCAAGGCTCAGCTTCTCAGGGAGGGCGTCCACAGAGATCAAGGAAAACCCACGGGGAACATCTCAGAGCAGGCCCCACAGGCCCCAGTGACACAGCCTGGGGCCTCAGGGATGTGCCTTCCTCGGCCCAGCATCTTTCCTGGACCCAAACTGTAAACCCACCGACCTCTGTGGAGTTTCTCCAGGTTTCTGGCACAGTAACTGAAAGCTGAGTCTGGTATTTATGTGGGAACAGCTGGAAATGCCAGTGCTCAAATCAATTAGCTCAACAATACCTCAGGCTCAGCCCCCGTGGGCGCTGCTGGACACATTCATTAGCAAGGAGAAACTCAATATTTGCATGGATCATACTTGCCTGATGGGAACGGGCACGTTCACATGTTGGGCAGGATCATGTCCAATTTAGCAGCACATTGAGCAATGAGGGCTGGGTCTGCTCATAAACCCACCCATCTCCTGCATCACCCAGTGCCAGGGGCCCATCCCACAGCCCAGGAGGCTTCCAGGCAGTGCAGAGCCCTGGGGTTACTGGGATCTTTGGTTACAGACGTGGTTTGGACACGGGGCAGTTAGTTCTGTCCATGGCAGGCATGTCCAGGACTCGTTAGGGTTCATTTTTGGGTTAAGGGGTTAAATGACAGCACGTCCCCAATGGCTATGTGACAGCAGCGTGGCTGCAGATAGCATTGGTGATTAGTGTAACAACATGCCACTAAAATCAGGATTATTACAGAGCATTCAAAGTGTGAAGGTACTCACACTGCCTCCGCCCGGGATGTGTTTGATATTATCCTTTGAGCCACACCTGGATTGAACGCTGCTAAAGTCCAGCTTCTTATTAATTATCTGCACCTTTGGTAGCCAGAAAAGAGTCATTGCACGTCACCAATAGCTATCTGCTGGCAGGGACACTGCAGATAGCATTGGCAGTTCAGTGTACACAACATGCCAGTTATCATCAGCACTAAGATAGAGCATTGAAAGTGTGAAGGTACTCACACTGCCTCCGCCCGGGATGTGTTTGATATTATCCTTTGAGCCACACTTGGATTGAACGCTGCTAAAGTCCAGCTTCTTATTAATTATCTGCACCTTTAGTAGCCAGAAAAGAGCGTGAGAAACAACATGACCATCTGCAGCTTGACCATGTCTTACAGCCCTAAAACCAGGAACCTGCCTTCCAATGCCAGCAGCAAAAAGGAAAACCTAAATCACTGCCTTGCTGCACAGATTCGTCTGTTGCTGGGCTGGAAAGGGAAGGTGGAGGTGGGCAGGTCATAGCTCCAGACTGGACAGGCTGGGGAGTGCTGCAGCCCTGGGTCCCAGGCTAAACACCAGCAAACAGCTCAGCCTGGATCCTTCACTGAACAGAGCAGGGAATCAATGGGCAGCACAGCAAACCCACTGGGAGGCAGGGCTGGGGCACCAGCAGGGTCCAGAGACCCCAGCAGGGCCCAGAGACCCCAGCAGGGATCACAGACAGCCCCTGCACAGCCAGTGGAATGACCAGGGATGGAGCTGAGAGAAAAACGCCTGCCCAGCTCCAGCTCCGTGCCAGGCAGCACAATCCCCTTCTGGGCCAGGCACACCCGGCCTTGGGCAAACAGAATTAATCCTGGGGAGCAGGAGCTGAGTGTCCAGCACTGGGAGAGGACACCCAGCTCTGCTCTGCACTCACACTCCCTCCACAGCTGCAAAGAGAAAGCCAGAAATGCTGACAGGGATGCAGCCCCAGGTCCCATCCCAGGGATGCAGCCCCAGGTCCCATCCCAAAGATGCAGCCCCAGACCAGGGATGCAGCCCCAGGACAAGGATGCAGCTCCATCCAAGGGATGCAGCCCCAGGACAAGGATGCAGCTCCATGCCAGGGATGCAGCTCCATGCCAGGGATGCAGCTCCATGCCAGGGATGCAGCCCCAGGACAAGGATGCAGCTCCATGCCCAGGGATGCAGCTCCAAGACAGGGATGCAGCTCCATCCCAGGGATGCAGCCCCAGCACAGGGATGCAGCTCCATCCCAGGGATGCAGCCCCAGGACAAGGATGCAGCCCCAGGACAAGGATGCAGCTCCATCCCAGGGATGCAGCCCCAGCACAGGGATGCAGCTCCATGCCAAGGATGCAGCTCCAAGACAGGGATGCAGCCCCATCCAAAGGATGCAGCCCCACCCCAGTGCTGTGCCACATTCCTAACCAGTCCCTGGTGGCTGGGAAGGGCTGGGGCCACATGGGCACCACTCTTAGCACATTCTGCAGCCCCAGAGCCTTCCCTGCATGCTGATCTCTGTGCTCACAAAGCTGCCTCCACCCAGGGCCTGTTTCCCCCCTGGCTGTGTCGGGAGCTGCCCTGGAGCCACCTCAGGCACCTGAGCAGCTCCTCCAGACAGCCCCAGGGTGGAGACAACCCCTGCTCCTGCCCCACACAGCCTGGAGTGCCTTCACAGCCCCCAGAGCTGTAAATGCAGGTGACAAACCACAGGTCTGAGCCTGTGAGAGCCCCCAGCAGTGTCACCTTCCCCAGGGCTGGGCAGGCTCCTGGGCTCCATCCAGCATCCCAGCCCCAGCCTGCTCTGCCTGGAGAGCTCCCTGCAGTGCCCAGGCTCTCCAGCACGGAGCACCATGGCTGTTGGTGTGTGCCTCCAGCAGGATTGTCCCAGTTTACACCAACTAATCCACAAATCAGGGCCCAGCTGTGCCAGAGCCACGCGGGGTGATGCAGCCACAGCACGAGTGCTCAGACATGCAGCAGCACAGCAGAGACCCGGCCTGGCTGTTCCTCTGCCTGCCCAGCCTGGGGTCTGCACGGAGAGCAGGCTCCAAACCCATTTCTGATCAATGCCTGGGATCAGCCCCTTCTGCTCCAGCTGCAGCCTTTCTGCTGGGAGCACTCTACAGAATCCCCAGCAGAGCATCCAGCCATTGTCCCCTGCAAAGAGCAAGGGATTGTCCCAAATTGAGCTGTCCTTACTCTTTCAGCAGCAGCAACAACCAGAGAGGCAGAGAGGGGGGAAAAAAGCAACTTTTAAAAGCTGGATTTAAAAAGAACAAGCATATAATTTAACTGTTTTCCAGTAAACAAGGGCTCCTTCTAAAATCCCTGGAGAACAGGGTTTGTGGGGGTGGGAAGAAAAACCCATGTCTTGTGCTAAGTGGGCAGGAGGGCTGAGCCCCCCCAAAAAGGACTCTGAGCTCATGTGCTGCTGCCTCATGACCAAGAGCCCTGCCCAGGCTCCAGAGCCCCCCTGGATGGTGGCACAGAGCCAGTGAATCGCCAGCCACGGCGGGAAATGCCTGGAAAGGCCATGGAGAAGCAGGCTGCCATTTCCCAGGATGCAGAGGAGCCAGCCCAAAGCCTCCCCCCCATGCCAAAGGGGAGCATCCAGAGCCACCGAGGTACCTGCTCACACAAAGTGCCATGCACAGCACTCAGGGAACATTTGTTGTGGCTCTGCAAGGTCNAAATAGTCGCTGAACTGCTTCATGGTCGGGGTTTTCACAATTTTCAACATGATCTCGTGGTTTTGGTTCTGTTCTAGTTTAAAGGATCCGTCATCGTTTCTTTAAAACAAAAACCCAACAGACAACGGCGCTACCATATCCCTCTGCAGAAGTGCTTTTCTATTTATAAGGTTGAAAATTCTGAATAACCCTTTTAGCATTATAAAAACCACACAAAAAAAAACCCACCTTGTATTTTGTAAATATTTTCTTTTCCTGCTTTGAGCTGTGTAATGTCCTTGTTATATAGAAATGCTTTTCTTCCGAGAAGCTGATCTTTGTTAATGTCTTGATTCTGTTGGCAAAGCACAAATGTGCTTATAAAAAAAAAAAAAAGAAGAAAAGATTAAAAAAAAAATTAAAATGTAATATTCCATTTGATGAGTGTGAAACGCTGGGCTGGGACAGGGAAGGGGCCCTCAGTGCACTCAGATCAACTGCTTCCCTCCTGCGTTTCAGTGGCCTCTTTTTTGCTGTGTGATGTTGTTTTACAATTCTGGGATTGGGAGTTATTTTACATTTCTGGGGTTAACTGGGTGCTGCTGGTTCTCATCCAGGGAAGCACTGTTATGTCCTTTCTGGCTCCAGCAGGCAGAGGTGTGGCAGCTTAAAAAGTAAAAAAATTGGAACCCAGTCCCTGCCCCTGTCGATGCTTCTGTGGATGGATCCCTCACCCCACATCCCCCCATGCAAAAGAGGTGCCAATTACCATTATCGTAGTAATGACTTTATTTCCAAATTCACTTTTACGGCAACAGTGTAAACCAGTTGTTAAACACACGATACACTATGGACACCCACAGACAGAAGCTAAGCTAGAATGATACACTGAGATCAAACCTTCCCTCCCCTCCCCGGCGCGGCGCGGGGGGCACGGGGCTGCCAACACCACACAGGCTGGCACCGACCTTGGCTAACACGCAGAATCTTTTGGAGTGCAGAAATACGATTTTTTTGTTTTGTTTTGTTTTAAATCAGTGCCGGTTTTAACCCTTTTCTCAGACCCAAGATGTGTGTGGAGTAAAGGAAAAGCCGGGGGTCGGGTTTTGTCCGGCTGCTCACCGGAGCCT